CACTGTCGTCGTGCCATTATAATATGAATATATATACGCAGAAAAATGAACGTATCGGTAATTAATGAATTATGATAGCGATGAATGAATTGAATCTTATTTCGGCAGGTATATGGATGCAGTTTTTCTTGGCCTTCAGTGTTTCTTTTCTTTCGAAAACTGTGTAAAAGTAGCAGACGTTTACTTTTTTTACGTTTACGATATAAGGCGGCATACTAAAACATTGCGAAAAAATATAATAGTTATGGAATAGGCTATTGTGTAAATACGCAGCCATCATTAAACTAGTCTCGTCTACAACAGCGCGCTTCGGAGACTACACAGTATTCTATGACGCATGTCTTTGTGCTATGTAAAAATAGCCAAAAAAGCAAATCGTATGAATAATTTTGGCGGCCGGATGAAATTCAGCGGCGGATTAAAATTTTTACTTGAAATGAAAGATTTATTAGAAAGCCGATCTCTTATATTGGACGACTAATCAATAAGCGACAGAAGTGACAAATTTCGAATATGTATAGTTGAAAATTTTATACGCGTAGCAAATAATGAATGGCAGTCTTTTCTCGTTTTGATCAAGTATGCACCAGAGTTATGGTAGAACTACTCCATGTATCTGACTTAACGTACATAGTTGCGCATAGCACTAAGTACATGATATTTGAGGGTGCCGAATAAACAGGAAGGTACTCTTTGAGCATAAAAGGCCTAGTAAAACAATAGCAGACAGTAGCCCCTCGATATGCACAACAAATAGTGGAGATAAAATTGCCCATCAAATTAATACAAGATCGTACGTCATATTCAAATTTCAACTCACCCCCAGATTCTGTACGTAATCTTTGCTTAATCGGCTACTTACTTTACAGGATTCGCTTTCTTTAATTCTATTCCCTATGTGTGTTCAACCTATAAGCCTCGCCACCCTATGCAATTTATAGTTATTCAGCCACAAGCAATATCAGCAACAGTGATAGGCTCCAAACTATTTTACTAGCCACAGAGGAAGACGCTCACGCACATCCTGTATTTCCAAAAGGTAAAGAATTAGTTCAATTCGAAGGACGCTAAGCATCACTTCAGTATTGTTGTTCATAGGTGCTTCACTGGCTAAATGTCGGGCACGGTTCAGGCAAGCGAGATTGTAGTTAATAACTGGAATGACCTCCCGCGCTCGTGCTTTTTCTTTTTGCCGGCGACCCCTATTGTTAGTATTTGCGTACGTACGTTCCAAATCTAGCATGTAAAGATACATCATTCCCCGAAGGGTACGGGACATCGCAGCCATTCGGCTTCTCACGCTGCGTAACCATTGGCCTATGAACAGCATTGTCGTTGCTGCAGGAAACTCTTCTCTGCGATCGTCCATCACCTGATAAATGAAAGCAATAAATGTGCTCTAGTACGCATTGGGAAGTACTTAACGTACAAGTAGATAAGGGCTATATCGAAAACCTGCACGATTTTACAGCGCCTAAAAAACAGGCACGGAAAACTTGCATTCGTCAGTAATTCAACAAATAAAGGCAATACACTTTGAAATGATTGTTTAATCTGGCCTAGAGCTTAATGCGATAAAAGAGTAGTGACCCCGAACAGCGAAGGAGCAAAGGACACGTCTATGTATATATATACATATATATATATAGTGAATTGTATATGACAATTGAAAAAATTCTACCAGTGAACGAAATTAGCAGCTACGGGACGATCAAAAGAACCAGGCTTTAATTTGAAAAAACTGATAATAAAGCGACTTTAGCGATGCGTGGAAGGATCACCTACCAACATCATTCCAATGTTTATTACCTACCTTATGTAAGAACTGAACAGTGCCTATTGTCCATTACGTAAAATAAGCCGTCTCAATTAGTGAACGTAAGTGTCATTGTCGTTATAATAAAATATCAGATATAGAGTAATCTAAAGGAAATGTTCAAAAAGACTGTAACATATTAAGCAATATAGATCAATCTCATGATGCGCCGTGTCGCTGGAAGCATCGTTCAACAGAAAAATCGTTTTAAAACATACGTTCTATCGTATGTAGTAGTACATTGAAAACTAGACTACTTGGTAGGAAAGCATAAGTGAGCTTCTTTAATTATTAATTAATAATTGAGCCTTCGACAAAACTGTATAATTACTGTGATTATAAGTATCACCTATATAGGTAAATAAATGCAGGAATACATTAAAAAAAATTAAAACCGTAATTTCGTATTGCGGCGCCTAAAATAGAAAATAATTTCTTGATGACTGTATTTGGTACGCGAACGTCGTAATGCTAACACTTACCAACCAATACAACTTCGGAGATCAGTCATGTTCTTACAGTGCCTAATCAAGATGACGCCACCATTGGATTTATGCTTGACGCATGACAACGGATAACACTAACAAATAGTTAATTTAGTAGCTTGCAAGAGCCACTTGCCCAAGAAACAATTTGGGATTTATTAAAATGGCTCCATATTTGCTGGAACGAAGTTTTATCAACCAATCCGATCACGGGATCACATGAAACTGTGTCCTGATGCTTTGTTTCAGAAAACTATTTTCAAACAGGAGCTGCGTGGGATTAGCGCGACTGTTCGTAGACTCATGAAAGCGAATAGCTGTCTGCTATATCATAATTATACGTGACCGCTTTGTCGCTGCGGCGTACATTTGTTGCACATATGTAAACGAGCGCAATGTGTCATCTGCTTAGATAGACGAATGAATTGCTAAAATTTTAATATGTCTATGTAAATAAATGTCTCCAGCTAAACTTTCATAGCACAATCTGGCCTTCGACAAAACTGTATAATTACTGTGATTATAAGTATCACCTATATAGGTAAATAAATGCAGGAATACATTAAAAAATGTATTTTCTAAGAACGTCAACATTAAAACGATTGATGGTTTATGACGATAAAAGCAGCTGATTCAATCGGCGTTTTGTTTTGTTTTCAGCGTGAATTTTAGAGACCAACGAAGAATATCTAGATTTTATTTATAATATATATGAATTGATCCGTGATAAACCTGAGAGCAACGTGTCGGCGGAATAAGTTTCTGCGGAATGCACATGTCTGCTTTAGAAGACAGCGGGAAAAAAACACAGGCTAGAAAGTGTGGATGAAATAGGAATTCTTTTTAAGCTTTATATGAATCTGTAGCAAATCTTGTTGAAGTTTTATGACTGACGTTATACAGTAATATTTGAGTCATATATTTTCAAAATGAAGTGCAAAGTCATAATTGAACTTTAGAACTAGAATACACGTTGACAAGATTATGTCAACTGTAGTCCAACGGCCTATTCCAACCATCGACCTAGTTTTTAATGGTTTGTGGTGACTCGGTCTCGACGGACGAGCGCCTGTGTAATGAACCTTGACGGAATAAGGAGGCCAAACAAACTCCGTACGCAGAACAAGCGGCGATATACCGTACGAAGTCATGTGGACCATGAAAACTCAAGAAAGGGAAGGCGTCGAGGACGTACTACGACGGTGGATGCGAGCGCAAAGGCGCCAGCGCCCTTAGAGAACTAGAATAATGGGGCGTAGCCGTAATCGCAGGCAACATAAGAGGTCACCAGTGAAGGACCCAGCTACACTATAGACACGTAAATGCTGCGTAGGCACAATATAGCTGGTAATGATGGCCGAATATAACGGCCGAGAAATTAATAGCTGCCGTTTTGTACACAGCTAGAACTTAAAAGTATATTATATAGAGTATAGAGAACGCCAGTCATTGATCGAGAGCCTAGTTATTCCCCGTGTATACCATAACGAAGGGCAAATCGCTTAGGGTTAAATTATTCTGCTAAGGCACTTTGTTAATCTAGAGCAGCAGTAAGATTTTGTTAGTTTATAAAGTCAAAATCGTTTTTAATGAAACTAATAAAAACAACTGCATTACGTTGAATACAATGAAACCAAATTATTCATTTAATTTATTTGCAGCTTTTAATGTATATGTTAATGGCATTGATTCGTCCTGCACAGAGCCTACACCACGACTATAGGGCTAGAAACGCCATTTGAGTTCATATACCGCTAACTTTGCGTACTACAGGACCTGTATGAATAAACCAAGTTTTGTATTCTGCGGTGGGATCCGTGCCAGGCTGTCCTGCATACTATTTTCCTTTTCCCCGATTCACTTAGGGAAGACGGGTCTACATGTAAAATTCTAGCGCTCGGATTCGAGGGCTCTCTTATTTCGATTCTCGTTATATTTCTCGCTGGCATTTCATTTTCGAATACGTAATCCATATATTTATCCTGTCAGTATGGAGGACACTTGCTAAACGATTTATAATAAGGTTAGCATTTTTAAAATCATAAAGAACTCACAGAAACAAAAGTGCGAGGATCTGCTTTCTTGGAGAAGCTCTTTACATCTAACCTATAACTCAACCTCAACTATTGTGGATCAGATCTCGGGCTACCGCTGCATATTATTATCTCTTGGGTATGACTTCTATCTTTTTCTCTTACTAGTATATACATACATATATACAGATTTCATTTTTGGGTGGAATGAGATTCGTTACAAACGCATCTATTTACAAAATATCATGGTATATTATTTTGTGCCATTTTATAGACTCTATTTTGGTAGTGAATTGCAATTGCAAAAGGAAAGGTAACTTATGAAGAAATCTCCATTAATATAATGACAGAACTTGCTAGGAGAGAGGACCCTTCGAAGTGATACAGACTAAGATAGCTTTACTTTGGCTCTATTTAACCTAAATACCATTAAAGGTCTGATAATTTGTAATAATCTCGTATGAGTAAAGTACATAACCTATTCGTGCTTGTATACATCTACTGAAATCAATTACATTATTGAACTTTAGTAATATTATTTGTGTAGGTAAAAAAAAAATTAGGTGATTATCAATTAGGTGATTTGCTTTGAAAGCCACGCTTTACTAAGACATAACTAACTAATAAGTTAAAACAAACAGCTGTTCATACTTCTGATAGGGTCGGTTATTATTGTACGTTTATTTATGTTGTAAGAGGATGAGATACCTGAACGACGTAAAATTTTTTTACTGGTAAAAATTTTTGTTACAATATACGAACACTAGTAGAAACCAGATACAGTAATATTGTTAGTGCTGATAGAAAAAACAAGTCTTCATTTAACCTTGGGCAGACACAAAATACGATCTGTATGTTCACGTGTGCACTATTGGTTTAGATCTTCTGGAAAAGACTCTAAAAGACCATACTTTTCAAACAGGTGGATCACTTTCACCGAAAGCAAATCTTTCCTAATCAAATTGTAGAGATCATCAAGTTGAGACTTTATGCATAGCGTTTGAACCCGATACTCCATCCAGGTATCACTTATGCTTGAGTATACCGTTGGGTCTTCGGTTGTTAAATCTATAGTCATCACCCAACTCTTGAATTCTTCATGAGTTTCTCTGAGTTTATTGTAAAGGTCCCGAAACCGTAACTGCATCCGTATCAGATTATGTTTGCCTGCTATGACCGTACCGATTAACCTTGAGATCACTTGTCTCTCCTGCGCTGTAAGCTCAGTAGACTTAAGCCAGGCCCGAAGTTTCTTTACCGCCCAGTCGGTATGCATGATCGATTGTTGGACACCTGTTAGCTGCTTTTCTTCCATCGATTTACACACGTCAACATCATCGAGGATGTTCATGGCGTTGGATTGAAGATTCGGCAAAGTTTGAACTATAAGGTTCTGGATTCGAGGATTGGCTGATGCCATACGTAGCGATATGTTGCCAGGCGGATTTAGATGATCATCCCTTTTCGAGGAGGTCGACATTTGTAAAGTCTAAATATTAGAAAAAGTACTAGCATTAGTGGTAGCAGTAGAAGCAGTGATGTGGTAAACAGCAGCTTAGTAAGTTTCTCTTTTTTTTTAATACTGTTATTTAAATTCTACAAAACTTCCTAAATATGAATATCGTTTCCAGTTTCACATCGTGCAAGTCCATCATCGACACGAATTATCTAAAACCTATTAAGCTAAAATGCGTTCGGAGCAACAACACCTCGCTAAAACAATGTCTCGTGTCCGGCACTGAATGCCCTACAGACTTGTTTAGGGTTTGAGTGATTCTCCATGTTGTTAGCACCGAACCGAAGTACATCAACGGTGGATTAAGCCAGTTTTCGAGAATCTCGTTTCACAGACTCTGGGTCTTTTTATGTCTGTTCGGAGACTGTTCTTTGTGCTTTTTTTAAAATTAACGTCAAGACATCAACAGTAGCAGTCACTTTTCGAAACAGGGCCACAGTGATTTACTACTGAGAGAGAATTCTTGTTAGCCAATGTACATCGACTGCAGAGAGCACAACTGAATAACAACACTATACTTCGATAGATTTGCACGTCCTATTCAAGCACGTCTGCTTTTGCGCTCTTGTGCCATATTGTTTTAGCGGCTACACGCTATATACTCACATAGGATTATCCGTACATCAGACCTCCTATCGACAGCAGACAGAATACGATCTTTACAAATTGTCTATGTTGGAATTCTGATCTTGCTAAATACAGAAGGAACTGCAAAATCTGTATGAGAGGGTTAAATAAATAAATAAAATTAGATTTGCGGGGGGGCAGAAATGGGGAAACGTGCTGCTTCTAGAGATGGGCTGATGTCACCGCAACTGTCTGAAATTATGACAGGATCTAGTACATGCTTTTGTCATTAACAAAATAGAGACAGATTGTAATAGGCTCTGCATTCAGTTGTTCATACTATCCACAACGAATGAGATTCGTACCGATACGCAGATATTACAGAATAAAGAAATAATATACAATGAAAAAAATCGTATCAATTAAAAGGCATACAACGTCGAACAGTACGGCACCGAATCAAACATTAACAACTTGCAACTATACTCTGGGATACGCAAAACCCAAATGGAAAACACTGTATAAGCTAACTTAAGTAATATCTTTTACTCCAAGTTCTTTATTGAATCGGACATGATCATTCCAGCTTCTCTACTCCGATATGGCTATGTAGCAGAAAGCGTTTCGACTCCGTTGTCCCTTTAAAGATAAACAGTACACATTTTGGTTAAATAGGTTTGCATTTTTGCTGTATAGTCAGCTTACTGAAAATGAACGCGTCAGTTAATCTAGCTATAATATTGCCAATGTAGACATTTAGTAAATCAAAGTAATACTCCATTAGAAAAAAAAAACTCATATCTATATACGCATTTATATATATCGTCTAGATAATCTATCAATATGCTAAGCGTTGTCTATTCAAAGATACTTTATTTTACTGTACCTGGAATCGACCTACGACGATTTGTAGCTGAGTGACCTAATAGCGATGTCGTAAAATTATTTTTCACTGGTTCGGTATTTGAGTTTACGATGCTTCAATGAAGATGCAACGCCACTTAATAATAAAATGATTCTTCTGTAGAAGAGAAAATATGGCTTTTTATAGCAATAAATAAATGTCTTTAGGTAGTTGAATGTATAAGGATTCATATATATCGAGCCAGTCGGATAGCTGATGTGATCAGTCTAGTAGCCACTATAACAAGGCCATGCTGTGTGATAAGAATTTTTCACTTAAAAAAAAAACAAACGTTTTCTATAACTGAACAACTTAGAAATTAAGCATCAGCTTCGGTCTTCAAATTATTAGCCTAGAATCACTAACCAGGATGTCATTCCCTATCGTGTTCAATGTACAAATTAAAGGACCCGAACTTTTTGAAAGCCAGCATTTATAGACACTTGTGTGACCCGTTCTAGCAAACATTTGACGCAACCGGCATAGAACAAAAAGCGTCGACGTTTCCAAGTAAGAACTTGTTTGTCGCTTCAGGACAGGAAAAATTATTTACACTTCAAATTTACAAAATAGCACCCTTATACATATATACGTAAATATATCTTAGTCTTTGAATTTTATATAGAAAGAGTACAGAAAACCAAGTCCGATCAGAGGTTGCATGTGGTGTGAGGTCATTACATACAATCTTTCCATTTGCACGAATAGTCTATAATTTATATAATGTTCCTGCTCGAAGGCTATTGTCTCGCGGAATCTTGTATAGTTCCTGAACGAGTGTATCAGTAGCCTGGAGCCAGCGTATAGCTTTCGAACAGCCCTCTTATTATCTTGTATCGATCTTTTTATTTTTCTGCTGTCCTTTGCACGGCGCATTCACTGGACATTTATTTTCATAAGGCAAAAAACTCCAGTTTCAAACTTATCCCTTAAGAGAAACTTAAGAGATCTGAATCAATAGCCGCCACTATTCCTGTTCTGGTAATGTAGCACACTAGCTCCAGTGTACCAGAGTTCAAATTTACTCGAACGTAAACTAGCGTTACACAATAGCCGGATGCTATTTTACAGAACGAAAAGCACCTTGATGGCAAATCCTAAAGTGTTGCATGTGTGACTTTTATAGGAAACATAGATCTGGCCAAGCACGTATCTTTGTGACAAGATCTGGAACTTCAAAATCAAGTTCACGGTTTGTTACAATGTGAATTATGCCTGCTTTGCAATTCACATGAGAAACAAAATTATGATAACCAAATGTACGCGAAAGCAAAGCAGCTGTTAATTTTATCGTTCACAATTTCCAAAATGCTTCGCCGAATCTTAAGATATGATTTCACATATCCTAGTAAAATATACATACATAATAAACAGAGGGAGTAGATAAATTTATTCTCAGGTAATAGAAACCATATACTACGAAGCCGGAAGCTGCCCGTTTAGGTTTCCCAGTGAAACATTCCTCAATCGAGCTTTAGATGATGTTAGACCGACTGATGCCGGATAGCTCGGTGATGGCCTTGTGGGTAACGTATTTGCCTGCTAATCGTAAGGGCACGTTGTGATCTAGGTCAGAAGCTGGGCGTGGAGAGACATTGTTTTGTTCTGGGAACCAGTCGTCTGATAGACTGCTGAACGGCGATACCGAGCGTAAGAATCGAAACACAGAGGCCAAATAATGCAAAAAAAAAAACCGGTCAGGATGTGAATATGGGACTGGAGAACTATCAAAGGTATTTAGTAAACCCTCAGAAAATATATGCTGAAGTCCTGGCAGTAGCTAAGCTACTGAAAAAGCTCTACGACTTAAGATTGACGATTCGCTTCGAAAACCTCTAGCTATTATCAATACTACTGTATATGGTATATATACATATATATATAATATGGTAGAACAATAATTTACGCTGTTGATGAAATTTACCCTCGATTTTCCTTAATTTATTTCCATAGCACAATTAGACAAATTAGGGTATGAAGTGTATAAACAACCTGTAGCAAGACAAGCAGTTGGTAAACTAGTGGTAGTTCAGTGTTTCCTTTGCTCAGTGTCAAAGTACGCTGATCCTATTTGTGTGAGCATTATTCACAAATACTTGGCACCAGGGCTAATAATTTGTACTGCGAAATCTCAACAACGTCACGTTTTCTGTGGCAGTTTGAAAGTTCTCGAATGATAAAATTACCAGCTAGCTTTGACCGCATGGTAAAAAGCAGCTCTAAAAAGAACGCTCGATCATTCCAGACCCTGTTTTATGTACGTCTCTACTATGTGTAGCACAATGGAAAAATATATTCATGTAATACATACACGGTTGCAAAATTGACTCAGGTCACTGAAGATTTAATTCAGTTATTGTATATCCTACAACAATGAAAATCGTTCGTCTATTTGAATTCCATGAAACAACGACAATGGAAACATGTAGGCTGTAATTTCGTTAGACACGAGAAACAGACTCGCTAGCACACATGGCACGGAAGAGTGCAAACAATATTTTCGTATCCTGATCTTGTGTTAGTTTTTACTTTATTTTTCAGTACAAAGCACGTCTGCTGGCTCGAAAGGCCAACTATATCCTAGCTTGTCTGCAAAACGCTTTTTGAATATTTGCGTTTCGGTCTCTAGCTAGGGTGAGCCGTAATATGCGACGAATATACATGAAATCTGTCTATTAGTGGTTACCTAACGGCGCCGTTACCCAAATGTAACATAATAATCGAGCCAGATGGAAGATCTCAGGGAGTTTCGATTCAGCCAATATCGTTAAGGAGGTCTTTGTTGTTTTAGATATGAAAGAGGGTGATAACATTTGCAGATACAGTGAGTATTCAGTACGTATTCGTTTGAGGTGCTATCTCAGATAGAGGATGCATAAACTTCAAAACACTTACAATAGTATAATGTTATCATAGTGCCAAGTACCATATTTTCGTACAGGCCAATTTCCCTATATTGAATTTAGTTCTCGCCTCTGCGCCAATCCGGCAGCTGTTTTCTTGAATTACCCAAATTTATCTTTAAGCATAATTAGCCATCTGACTAAACAATATTGCACGATACGAAATAAAACCTGTCCCGAGTCCAACAGGGCCGTCACGAAGAATACGTTCACGCAAAAGTATGTCCTTTTTTTTTTATTGGTGGACACGCGTCGCCTAGCGTTATCATCTAAAGTCTTGACGACTCCAGCGCATAACTATGTATAACTGAAGATGATATAAACGTCGTGAATGGGACAGCTTCTTAAGTGTCGTTGAACACAATCTATCACTGTATAATATTTGACAAAAATACTTTGTAAAACAAAAACAACATTGTGTCGTCAATAACAGCACTCGTTTTATTATTGTATTCGAAAGGGGTGCATCAATGAGTGGTATTGGAACAATCTACTGTACGCCTACAACATAGTAATGTACCTATGCTTCTGTAACAATTGGTTACCCAAACAATACTGCCCAGATGCGGACAATCCATTGATGGCTGCACGTTAATGCACGCTCAATACTGCCTATGATGATCTTCGTGATACGTAAACGCTATGACCGCGACGGAGCACGCCCCTGCATAGTCTAACCGGCTGGTCAGGGTCTGTTACCGAACAAGGTATATAATAGGTGCTACAAAAGCGTTCTTGAGATACAGCAAAGCGAGCGTGCAGCATGGGCTGTACGTACATGTGTTCTTCCGTCGGCTGCATATGCCACGAACAGTCCGTAACGAAAAAATAGGTCGATTGTATTTCGGCTACTGGTGACGCATTTGTTCGTCATGAAATTATTTGAAAGGGAATAACTTTTTTCATGATCTCCGCGTGCGCGAACGTGAGGCTAAAATATTCCTGAATTGATTCTATGCTTCATCACTTCAATTGCAAACTGTCCATGTTAATCGCCGACGTAAGCTAATGTTTGTGAGTATTATAATGCGCGGCTTGAAAGCAGGGACGGGATCGAACGTGTACATATTCGAGTCGAATATC